TAGTGCTAGTAGAATTGCTCATTAAGTCCATTTGATCTAGGAGCCTTCATAGCTCCTAGCTGAAAAACTGACTCGTTAACTTCATCCATAGACAAGTCTATTGTCAAAGCTTCATTCATGTGGTCTCCATTTCCAAAGTTAGACATTGGTCTAATAAGGGTTGAAATTTTTTTTAATTTAGGAAATTAAATTTATTAAATATTTTTTGTCTCCATCTTCATTCATAGCTCCTAGCTGAAAATTTGACTCATTAACGTGTTCGATTGATGGTGTAAAGTGACAATAATTAATTTACCGATGTATTAGTTGTAGAAAGGGATTGATATGCTCCGAATTTCATATTTAATGATATTCAAGTTTTAAATTTATTGAATTGAGATTTTTCTAGCATCCGATATTGTTCACTAATAATTTTAATAAGTTCAAATTATTCAGATTCATCAATGTTTAGAATGGATATTGGTTTCCTTGTTTATTTGTTGATTTACTAAATATTTTGGTAACCTAACAACATATTTTGGTAAGCCTTGGGTTCTTTTATTTGGCACGCCTTCTCTTCATTTTTTTCTGCCAAGAATTTTAAACCCAAATTTTTAGTTTGAGATATTGAACTTGGCTAACCATGAGATCATGCATTACATCATTCATGACAACTTTAGCACATTAATGCCTTGATGATTCACCCATTTAACGTGGCCAATAAGCACTATCTTGAAATATTTTCTTTTAGCCACTCTCATTGGGCCACTTAAAGCTTGAGTACTAGAACACCCATCTTTCTACTTACACCTAGCATTTTTAATCCAAGATAATGAGTACTATAACCTTGACTATTTTTTCAAACAAATCAAATGTGGCACCATGTGTTCTTTTTAACTCATTTCCGATTTTCACCATGTGTTCTTTTTAACTCAAAGTCATCACTTCTTTTAATCATGGTTACTTGATCTAATATCTCTTGGCTTTATAATTGGATCTTGGGAAGCCTTCAAACTTCAAAGTTGTCACGCCCCGAACCCCATCGAGCACGCGACACACATCTCTGGTCGAATAATACGACGTCCCAGGGTATCGTCGACCCAATTCAACTTATCAGAGATTTAAGACAATCAGCGAAAGCCACAAATACCCGGACTATAACAATTGGGGTAAAAAGGGAGAATAAACATTTCCATTGCTCATCCAAACTTATACAATATTCACATACACAACCCATAATGTACAAGTACACCGAATATCTATACTATGTACCACCGACATCCAAAAAGATCAGTAGCTTAGTATACCCTATCTCCAAAAATGGTAACCTTCAAAAGCCTACACCCAACCCCTACTCTAGCCCCTACGCCCTCTGCTTGGCGTCCATTCAGAGTCTGATTCCTCATCATCCGAATCTGAATCCCCCTAAACTGTCGGCTCCTCTGAGGACTCCGGCTCGGCCTCGATCTCAATCGGGTGGTCTATATCACCTGATTTCGCTGGAACCTCGACTCACTCCTCCTCAACGGGCTCGTCATCTGACTCGTCGTTTGGCACAAACTCGGGATCGTACTCTAGGACATACTCGGGCTCGTACCATGGCTCGTCCTCGGGTGCGTCCTCTGGCCCCACCTCTAGGTCTTTTTCAGGCTCATTTTTAGGCTATTCTTCTGGCTCCTCCTCTGGTATCACATCAAGATCCACGTCCATCGGATCATACCCCGCTTGGGACTCTTCCGGCTCCGGTTCATGCTTGGCCCCCGAAGGCTCAGGTGCTGCAGGCGCAGGCCAAAGGCCAGACTGCGCTAGACTACTCTCCAAACTAGTTATCTCGCCATCAGGAGGGGGAATAGCTGATGGATCCCAATCCCCAACTCCATCAAAGGGGACGTCGAAGCCACGGATGGGGCCAAACTCATCTACCCCGTCTCTGAACATCCAGGCAGTATACGTGTGGGCTTGCCAGAGGGGTAATCCTATATCTACCCAAACTACTGTAGAATGCTTCACCCAAGTCATGTTCTCATCTATAGGGTATTCTACAGCGCTGTGGTCGGTGTGCATCGGTACTCCAAAATGCTCAGGTGGCGGCGGTGGGAGATTCATCGCTCAGGCCGGGGTTCTGAAATTTTTGGTTGAAACAACCATGAGATCACATCTCAGTAAGCACACACCCTAAACCCCACCTAGGTTATCACGTACGTCCAGACAATCACAACCACAACCACACTCAACCATCACATAGCAGGCACACAATTATACTTACCTGGGCCTTTCCTGCGTGCAACCTGCACGTTAACCACAGTAGTACAATTTCCAACCACATGCACATTCTAATTACATTTCATGCATTTGTTCTGCCTCATCACATTCCTTTCACCCAACTCGCCGGTGACCCGCGTAATGGTACCGCCTCGATTCACCGTGACTATCTCATATTTCCACACTCGACTCAGCCGGTCCGCTATCTCTTTTCACTGATCTGACCTACGTAGTAGTACCGCCTCAGGTTCACTGCGACTATCTCATTTTTTCACTCGACTCGCCAGTGACCCGCGTAGTAGTACCGCCTCAGGTTCACTGTGACCAACTCATAATCACAACACTTCGGGGCCCACGTAATGGTACCGCCTCAGGCCGTGTATCTTGCCCGTGTAATGGTACCGCCTCAGGCTCAACACCTACCACCTACGACACAACCCGCGTAATGGTACAACCTCAGGTTGGCCGTCCTCCGGTAATACCGGGCATCGTCCCGCGTAGTCGTACCGCCTCAGGACGGATCAATTCCCCGCGTAGTGGTACCGCCTCAGGGATTTTCGTAACTTTATGCACGACATTTCACACACTTTCTCATTCAATTACTCGCTCGATTCTCACACCAACAAGCCCAATTACTAGCCGATTAAATCCGGCTCATGCACGCATCCAACTCTACGCATTTCACATACGCAGATAAAGCCCAAACATGGCCAAACTGGCGATCCACGCAACTCAGCCCATGCGTGCACACAACAACTCATATTTCAATCAAATATTTCGCAAACCAACGAGCAATCACGGCCGCCATCGAGCCCACAATCACAGCCACAAATTCAACATTTCCACACATATTTCAAGCCATAACAGGCACCACAACACAGCCACATCACAGCACATTAAACCGGCACAATTCGTCTCCAAATCTGACCATATGCCCGTCATTTCATTTCCTGATTTTCCAGCATCTAACTCAGAACCAAGTCAGCCTCGAAATCATCATAATTTCATTCATAAACCAACCACAATTAGCCCCTAAATCGGTCCACTAATATAACCACTAAACAGCCTCTAATTAACCCCTAAACCGTCACCTATCAACCCGATTCAGCCCTAATTTGTCCGTCGATACCCGAAGTCCTAAATAGAGTTTAGGGTGCGACTTACATGAACTCTAGACTAGCTCGGCTAGAGTGAGAAGGGGGGGCGGCTGATCGGCGGCATGCGGCGGCTGATCGGCGGCACGCGGCTGCGACGAGCGGCTGAACGGCGGGCGGCGGCGGCTTCTTTGGTCGCGGTCACTCACGGCCACGAAGAGAGAGAGAGAGATCGCCGAGAGGGAGAGGGAGAGAGAAAGAGAGACGACGTGAGGGTGGTGGTGCTGCTCGGTGGCGGGATGGCGGTGGCACGGCGGATGGACGGCCGAACGGCGGTGGCGCGGCCAAGGGGAAGAGAGAATGGTTGGTCGGTGAGGGGAGGGGAGAGAGTGAGTCGAAGGGGAGGTGAGAGAGTGAGAAGAGAGAGAAGAGTTTGGACTTTAATAGTCCAAAGTCAATAATTGAAAGGCCAAAAGACCATCTTGCCCTTCTCTTACAAATCCAATCAACGGCTTAGATTCGATCTTATCTTGAGATCGACAGTCCGAATCGAATCTTTTCCAAAATATCCAAGGGCAATTTGGGAATTTCTCAAAAAGTCCAAGGGCAAAATTATCCAAAATTTTTTATTTCTAATATTAAGGCGAAATGACCAAAATGCCCTTCCCAAATTACATTGGCCAAACTCCTAGGGGTAAAATGGTCATTTTCCATTTCTCGCCAAAATTCAATTTTTCTGAAGGATTCGGACAAATCCGAGGCTACCCGAGCCAATGACAACATCGTCCAAATGATTCGTTATGACCTTCTAAATTTCCAATGCCCAACTTAGTCTCTAATTAATGACTAAGTTCTAAACAACGTAACTTGCGCGTATCTCATACTAACGGGTGGCTTTTGGAGAAATTCGCATTATTGACCCGTAGCCGATACTAAATCAAGCCACGTTCAAGTTCACTCAAGTCGTGACGACCTCGATTGTCACTTAATCGCGAGGATCAATCACTAGATTCGACGGACACGATCGTTTGGTATAAGTTGGGGTCATTCGTCAATTCATTTCGTGGTCAAGCGGAATCACCCGCGATCCACTTGTATGACAATGGTGAACTGATCCCTAGCTATCCTTAGACCGGCCTACAGTGGCTCAAAATGTCACCTCGACGATTTTCATGGTCGAAGGTCGGTTCACGATCGAGTTCTTTGGTCGCTCGAATTTAAATCCCTAATTAACCTTTCCCTAACGGTTAGTATTCCTGAAGTGATCAATTCCGGCGAGATCTAACTACAAGCACGTCCATAAACTATTAATTTCATAAATCCCAAGTGGTTCGGATTTCAGAATGTCACAAAAGTGGGAGTCCCCTACCATACTAACTGCCAATTTCCAACTTTCTTCTTCTATCTTTGTTTTCAAAATTTTGTGAAGACCCACACTTGTATTATTAAAGCTTTTATCTCAGTCTTTTCAGGGTCGACAAGGTAAATCATTGGAATTTCCACTACTTTCTGCAAATGGGTTTTGTCATTTCAAGATAAGAATTGTTGATTTTGTTTGTTTTGTTTGTTTTGTATGATGGTGTCTAAAGCTTTAAGTTGTCAAGTCTTCTTCAAGGTAAGTGAAAATTGTAAGGACTAAATTAGATTGATCTACTTAGGTGCATTTGGGAATGACTTTCCCAAGTGCCTTTGAGCGTCCAAAGCTCCTTGAGCCAAATATTGAGTGTTCGGTAAAATTTTTAGAACCCACCTTGAGAAAAAGTCGGCCTTGAGAAGGCTGAAAGCCCAAGGCAGGTGAGAAGGTGCCTTGGGCTTTTCAGCTTTCTCGGCATGCAGCTCCATAGGATAAGTAAACTTTTTTAGTTGCATTTTTGCCCTCAAATATTTATTAAAATTCCAACTTTAGCCTTTTGTAAAAATAGAAACCCTAGATCTACAAGCAGCCGCTCCCTCCGTCTCCCTCACTCAACGGAGACTCCCACCTCCCTTAATAATCGGTGGTTTGATGGCTTCGAATCAAGCCAGTCTTCTCCTCCTGAAGCAACTCCGAGGTCCAATTCTGACTCTGATTTCGCCTTCCTTTTTTAGGGTTTCTTTTCTGTTCTTTTCTCGCAGTCGTGGAACGCGTGGGTGTCGGTGATTGGTTGCAGATCTTTGTAGGAACCCGGTGGATGGGTTCTCCGCAGGGTTGGTGGACGAGACCAGCGTGTTCGAGTAGAGCGTCTCCATAATTGGTCCTCCCGACACTCTATAGTGAGTTGGAATCACTTTTGTTGGATTCGCCGAGCTCGAAGTTTTGTTCTTTTTCGTGCTCTCGATGAACCCTGTTCTTGTTTCTGTCATGGGTCGATTCCTTTTTGATGTGGTGGCGTCAATGGTTGGTTTTTTGTTCTGAAAAGGTGCTTATTTTCGTGGTGTTGTGTTTCGAATTGGTCTGTAAAAAATCGGATCATCTGTTTCATTGAACATGTCTAGTCGCCTCTCCTCTTCGCTCACGCTCGCCTCTCTCTACTTCTTCGAAGAAAGAACTCTGGTCGCCTCTGTCTTCACTAAGCAGTCGCTCGCTTCTCTCGTGGTCGCCTCTCTCTTGGTGGCCTCTCTCTTTGCTCAAAACCCAGTTGCTTGCCTCTCTCGTCGCTCAAAACCCAATTGTTTTTTTTTTTTGGTAAAGGTAAGAATATGTATTACTTTTCAAAACACCATATATAATATAGCGCCAAAGCCAACCCTTGAACCGATTAGGACACAGAAATGTCCAAACAGGATCCACATTGGTTCAGCAAGAACTATACAACAAGCCAAAGAGACTTAATACAAGGTGACTTAATACACCGAATTAAGAGGCCATCTGGTTCAGTTCGAAGATTGAAGGTGGAAGACCCCACTTCCTTTGTAATTGTCGGTTCCTAGGAGTATCCTCAACTCCCCCAATAGTTATGGCTTTATCCTTCACGACTTTGACTAGGTGCAAGCACATACCCGGGATATATACACTCTTATTTCTGAATATGGCGTTGTTCCTTTCAGTCCAAATGACATGACATAGTGCACCAAAGGAAAATCTAGAGAGGCGGTGAGCAAAGGAAGATCCACCGCAAACTTTCATTGCCCACCTAATATGCTCTTGCCAAGGACGGTTGCGCCATGGAAGGTTGCATTTAGTTGCCCAGAAAGAAGCTAGCCTAGAAGTAGAAGTGCACTCAAAGAAGAGGTGGTTGATCGAATCTGGTCTATCACCACAGAAAGCGCACAAGGCGGTGTCAATACTGCGGATTTGTAGGAGGAGTACCTGGGAAGGGCTGGTTGAGAGAGATAAGCCACAAGAGAAAGGCATGTCGGGGGCAATATGATGATCCCAAATGAATGAGTGCCATGGGGCTGGATGCCCTTTCCTTCTGATATGATTCCAAGCTAGCGCTACCGAGAAAGAGTCAGAAGGATGTGAAGACCATATCAGTTTGTCTGGAGTATTCTCCACAAAAATTGGTGGTGAATCCGTCCAGCTCAAGATAGTGTTAAGTGTATATGAAGGTTGCCATAAACAATTATATAATTTCCGAACCGAAGTATCCCGGGGGATCCGCGATTGGTATATGTCCACATTGCTGAATATGAGGTAGAGCGGGCCTTTATTATGCCACCAATCAAACCAAAAGGACAGCGAGCGTCCATTACCAATCTTCCACCGAAATAGTGCTTGGGCGGAAGCTCGCAAATCCAGAATTTTCTTCCATGTCCAAGAGCAAAATGTAGGTTTCGATACAATCCAAAAGTTTGATTTTTTTAAGAAGGTTGAATGTATCCATTTGCACCACATGGATTCCTTATCAGTAAAGAGAAGCCATATGTGTTTAAGAGTCATTGCTCTATTGTATTCCACAAGTCGCCGTATCCCAAGGCCACCTTCTTCTTTGGGTAAACATACAGCATTCCACGCTACCTTAGCTCTACCCATGCCAAGGTCAGGACCTTTCCATAGAAATTGTCGCAAAATAGCCTCAATTCTATATAATACTGATTTCGGAATAGAGAAGATAGTAGCCCAATACACTTGCATGGAATGCAGGACTGATTTGATGAGTTGTAACCGACCAGCGAACGACAGGAAACGTTGAGTCCATGAGCGGGCTCGAGCCATTATAGAATCAATCAAGATTTTACAGTCCTCTTTACGCAGTCTAGTCGATATAATATGCACGCCTAAATAGCGAAAAGGGAGTGTACCTTGTTGAAAGCTGAGGCATTGAAGTAATTGGCCATGCAGAACCGGATTCCCTCCCGAGAGGAAGATATTGCTTTTCCTATTATTCGGTTTAAGGCCAGACCAGTCGGAGAACAGGTCAAGAGATTCCTTGATTAGTTCAATCGACCTCAAGTGAGCTTCGAAGAAGAGGAGCACATCATCCGCAAAAAATAGATGAGAAATATGGGTTTTTTTGCATCGCCAAAATCAATGGAAATCCGGAGTGCCTGTTTTTGCCTTTAGAATTTCGGACAGGACTTCCATAACCAGTATGAAAAGATACGGCGATAGCGGATCGCCTTGTCGTATACCTCGGCAACTAGCAAAAAACCCATGTAATTCCCCATTGATTGAAACCGAGAATTTGGATGTTGACACACAAGCCATAACCAGCTTGATGAAGAAATCCGAAAATTTGAAGGCCTTTAGTGTCTTTTCAATGAACTCCCAGTCGACTGTGTCAAAAGCTTTCTGAAAATCCACTTTAATGGCACACTTAGGAAGGTAAGCCTCATGATGAAAGTCCGCGAACAACTCTTGAGCAATCATGATGTTGTCACTAATTCTACGTCCTTTAACGAAAGCCGTTTGGGAAGGGCCAATCAAAGTTGGTAAGACATAAGCAATACGCCTAGCTAGGATTTTAGAAATGCATTTGTAAAGGGTATTGCAACATGCAATCGGACGGAAATCAGTCATGGCCGAGGCATTAGGGGATTTCGGCACTAGAGTTAAAATGGTATTGTTTAACTCTTTAAGCATACAACCAGACTCAAAAAAATCTCTTACCGCCATGAGAATGGAGGGTCCAATGATCTCCCAAGAGGTTTTGAAGAAATCAACGTTATACCCATCCGGCCCAGGGCTTTGCCTCTAGCAAGTGAAAACGGGGTAGACTGAATTTCCTCATCTGAAACCGGTTGTGCTAGGCAGTTCCTCTGATTCTCATCTAAAACCCGGCCAATGAAATCTCTTATCTCATGGACAGATGGCTGGATAGACACAGAATTACCATTGAGTAGCTCCTGAAAGTGACCAACAATGTGGTTCCTGACCGCTTGTGGGTTAGTTAGTAGAACACCGTCATCAGCAGACACCGAAAGGATTCGATTTTGTAACCGCCTTTTGTTAACAAAATGATGAAAGAATTTAGTATTCATGTCCCCCTCTTTGAGCCATCAAATTCTGGATTTCTGTCTGAAGAAGGATTCCTCTTGTAATCTCGGTGCGAGAGAAGGATCGTATGTCTCCACTTCTACATCAAGCGGGCTCGATCAAGGGATGACGCTCAGGCTACCGAATAGCATATGTCGATCGGTGTCACGCCCGCACTACGGCCGATCATCCGCGATGGTCGATCATTGAAGCGACGTCCCGCGCGTCCCACCAACCCAAACATCGGAGATTAGGCACGCGGAAGCAAATAGAAACAACCGACAATTAATAATGACAAGGGTAACAATAGCACAAAACAATAAGCGTAATTCCTACACTTGGCAAATACATACAATGCTCATCAAAAGGGACAATGGTTCGCGAACTTAACTCCTCTACAAAAGGGAAACTCAAAATACGGACACTCGACCCGTCCTCGATCTCGAGACACCCTTGCGCGTCTCCATCACACGGTCGCGGATCGAAATGGTTATATAATAACGTGAGCGAGTCTCAATAAGCAACCCCTATACGCCACGTGCGCCAACGCGGACAAGTCTAACATGCGATCACCCGGACAACATAATCAATTTCATACAACCGGCTTACCTCGCCTCGAATCACGAGCCAACCACATATCGGTCAAACAAGGTAATGCAAGAATAGTTCATCATCATATCACGGTCACCCGGCACACGCAATCTCACTCGCATTCAACCAGCCCTGACCAAGCAACCACACGTTCAAGCTGGTCAATTAAATCACACGCGCTCAACTAGCCTAAATCACTACACGCTCAACCACCAATTCGGTCAGCGCTCAACCGGCCAATTCGGTCACACGTTCCCAAAGCCATTTCAATCACACTCAAATCACATGCGTGTCCGACCATCTTTCTCACAACTCGCGCATTGCGCCTCAAATTCATTCTCACAAGCACACAAGCCTCACAATTCGATCAATTTCAATGGCCGCGTCAACACGTCCCAAGCCATACCGTTCAAGCAATTCCGGTGGCCGCCGTCAACACATCCCAAGCCACACTTTCCTTTCACGGACCGCCGTCAACACGTCCCAAGTCCGTAGCCCTCCGATCAATCCGGGCTCAAATTCCAATGACCGCGTAAACACGTCCCGGTCCAACACGCCTTTAACGGGCCACCGTCAACACGTCTCAAGCCCGAATCCATTTGGCATCACGCCATTCATGCCTTCACACGGACCGCAGTCAACACGTCCCAAGTCGTAGCCCTCCGATCAATCAGGGCTTAAAATCGACAGCAAGCACACGCCAATCAATTAAATTAATTTCACGCCAATTGCATCAAACAACCCATTCTCACAACTCGGTCAATTCACAATTCGCCACCTCAATCCACAAACCCGACATTCAAGTCGGCACACTCATTACCCGAGTCAAGCATATCATTTAATCTAATTTAAATAGCGTAATTGTAACATAATATAATTAAATTAAAACACGCCCTAGCCGTTCTAAACCCGAGACAAGTCAATAAAGTACCCAAAATACTAGGTAGGGTTTAGGAAGTCACTTACTAGATTTTGGCCCGGAAAAGTCGGCTCGGGCCTAAAATGGCCCGGGTGAACAGATGTCTCGCTCGGCACGGAGCAAGGCGCGCGGACGGGCGCGGGAGGCTCGGCCATGGCGCTCGGCCTGGCATGGGCACGGCGGCTGCGGGCGTGAGCGGGAAAGGAGAGAGAGAAAGAGAGAGAGAGAGAAAAAGGGAGGGGCAAACGCAATGATGGGGAGGACGTGCGCGGGCGGAGGAGAGAGAGGAGGAGAGAGGACAAAAGGCTAATTTTTGTCTTCGAGCGCGATCCAACGGACACGGTTCAAACTAAAAATCGTTCTAACGGTCACGATTCAAACCGGAAAAGATCTAAGCTGTCCCGAAAAATCCCAAACAATAATATAAGACAACGGGCCAAAATAAAATAACTCAAGACTCACTACGAGGGAGGTCTACCGAGTCAAATTCGCATCAGGTCCAAAAATCCACTTTCTCACTATTCCTAATCACTCGACGCTAGCCACAATAATATCACAGTCCAATTTATTTCGTCCCGAAACTCTCGAAAATCGATTGCCAAGGTCGGGGTCTAAATAACGGCCAAATTCGATCGAATGCGATTCTAGCGAAATCTCAAGATTTAAAAATAATAACAGGGAGTGATCGGTTCCGGGCGAGATTTTTACTATAAGCGCACTGACGAAATACCCGTTTTATAAATCCCAAAAATGGGCCAAAATTCGGAATGTCACATCTGGCCTGTTTGGTCCTTGTGGAAATAGCAGAGAATGAACTTCTACTCAAGTGTTTCAGCTTTGCTTTAAGCACCCGAAGTTTGCAGCAAATCATATACATAGGAGTGCCTACCTACTATATGAGTATCCCAGGCTTGAGCTACTAAGTCCAAGAATTTTGGATGTGTAGCCCAGAAGTTAAAAAACTTGAAAGGTTTATTGGAGCTAAGTGGCGGGAAAATTTTTGTCACCATGGGGGAGTGATCAGAGATACCTAGAGCAAGGAAGGTGGCTTCCGAGAAGGAGAAAAGTTGGTTCCATAGGTCATTAATGAGCACTCGATCAATCTTGCGAAGTTTCCAATTATCACCTGAAGAATAAGTCCATGTGTATCTACAGCCCACATAACGAAGATCCTCTAGTCCCGCCTGGTTAAGGCAGTCCCCAAATTCATCAAAGGCCGGAATCCAGGGAGTTGTGCTACCCACTCTATCATCCGGGTCTCTAATGGCATTAAAATCTCCAGCAACAATCCAAGGCAGCTCACACGAAGAGAGCCGAATAAGGTCAGCCCAAAGCGACCGCCGATTCACAAATGTATGTTCTCCATATACTATTGTGATAAGACAAGATGTTTGCATATTCAAAAGCTTAAGCTGAGCATGAATCATTTGGCGGTAAGAGGAAATAATACTCGTCTCCAGCTCATTCGAGTCCCAACCGAACCATATTCTACCAAGGGGGAAAAATCATAGTTGGACACCCACAGCCAATTAGCGCATAAGCCTCTAGAAATATCAGCAAAAAGAGAGGCTTTTGCTTTTGTTTCCACAATACCAATACAAGAAAGACGGTTTGTCCTAATGAGGGCCCGAATTTCAGCTTGTCTAGGGGTGCTACTAGACCCCTGATATTCCATATTCCAAAAAACATATATATATATATATAGGCGAGGAAGGTTACCTCTGGGGTCTCTTTGCCTTCCTCCTCTTTTGATAACGACACAAAATTTCTATTTCCGAAATAGAAATTTGTTTGATAACGACATAAAATTTCTCCCTTTCGGGCAGCCGGCGGGGGATGGAGGACGGTGGCCGGCGGTGGGAGGCGGTCGGCCGGTGGCGACGGATGACGGTGGCTGGCAGCTGGTGGCTGTTGGCGGCGGATAGCAGCGGTGGTTGTCGGGGGCGGAGGGCGGCCGGCGTCGGGCGGTGGAGCACAACTGCTGGCGGTGGAGGACGGCGGTTGATGGTGGGTGGCCGGCTGCAAGAAGCAGCCGGCGGTGGAGGGCGGCTAGCGTCGGGCAGTGGAGCACGGCGACCTGTTGCGGAGGACGGCGGTCAGTGGCAGGTGACGGTCGGCATCGGGCGGTGGAGGACGGTGGTCGGCGGCAAAAGGCAACCGGCGGAGGACGGTGGTCGGCGGCAAGAGGCAGTCAGCATCGGGTGGCGGAGGACGGTGTCAGTAGCAAGAGGTGGCCGACGGGCGGGAGGCAGCCGGCGGCGGCGAAGGACGGCGGGAGGCGGCGGTGGGTGGGTTGCGACCGACGTTGGGTGGTGGCGAACGACGGAGGATGACGGTGGGAGGAGGCGGTCGGCAAAAGACGCCGATGGTAGGCGGCCAACGGCGAGAGGCGGCAAGCGATGGCGGGAGGCGGCCGGCGGCAATAGCGAGTGGCAAGAGGATAACCGGCTAGTAGCAAGGGCAAGCGATAAGAAGAATTTTTATTTCTCATTTCTATTCTAGAAATAGAAAAGTAATTTTTTTTTACTTCTGATTTCTGTTCCAAACTTATTTCTGGAATAGAAATTTGTTCCAGAAATAGAAAAATGAAATTGCGTTACCAAACGGATTTCTGTTCCAAACCTGTTCCCGGAAACAGAAAAATAGAAAAATAGAGAAATAGAAATGTTACCATGCGCGCCCTAGTTGACTGGCATTCCAGTCATATATTGCTTTTTAAGTGAAATGTTTTTGAGTTTTAGAACCATTGATGCACTGTGAAAATACTGCAAGAAGGAAGCCTTTTTACATTTGGTAGTGGAAGATTATGGAAAAGAAATTATTTATAGTTTGATTTATTTTCTTCCAAAACATTTGTCGGGCTCCAAGTGTAATTCTCTTCACTAATTACCTTAGGTTCTCCACTAGAACTACATCATTTGCTGATGCTACATTAGCAGTATGAATTCTGAGTTGAGGATCTGGCGTTTCTTCAATGTTTGGTCATGTTCTTGTTCTTGTTCTTGGTTTTGTTGAGATGGAGATGAGGTTGGGGTTGGTGTTTTGGTCAAATGGGTTCTTAGAGTTACTTATTTGGCCATTTTCACATTGTATTGCTGTAGGTCCGAACTTATTTGCGGTCATAGTTCTGTGCTCAAGTCTCATCATGTCTTTTTAAATTTGCATGCTGCATTCCTGTACAATATCAATTTTTTGACATCACTGAACTTGTTATTTGACATCACCATATGACTATTTTTAGGATGATGACTATGGCTATTTCGCGTGGATTCAACTCCACATTTGGCGACAAAGAGATGATTTCCTAATTGAAGTTTGAGAAGGAATTGATGGCTTAGAGAGTAGAAATGGTGGAAAACAAGCTGAGTATCACTGAGCAACAGTCCAACACAGTATGTTGCTGGAAAGGACTAAGCATGTGGTGAACATGAGACAACAATGTGCAAGTTTAAGCCTTGAGATTGACAAAAAGGGAGAGACAGACAGAAAATATGGTCATACTGAGTGACCGTTGCTGAAACAACGATGTTGGTTTCTCCCCGATCGTTGCTTTTTGTGTGACCATTTCTGAAACAACGATGTTGGTTTCTACTTGGTCGTTGCTTTTTGTGGGAGGGATTCTCCCAAGACATAAGGGAATTGTACTAGTGAATGTGGGTTTTTTTTTTGTCAAATTGATGGGTTGATGTATGTTAAACACTTGTGGTGTTGCACAATGATTAATGCACAAATGTGGTTTGTTCTAGCATCCATTTCTAGTAGATAATCACATGAGAATGTTGGTGGTTGCTATCACTTTGGACTCTTTGAATGTTGGCCAAAATGACAACTAGTTTAAATGCATATTTGATTGGAATGTTCAGGCGTATCCATGTAATATTTAAGGATAACATATTTATTTGCTCGGGACATATGTGATCATGTTTGGTATAATGAAATTACTCCTTTTATTTGAGAAAGATCAATCTAGAATGATCCACTTTGATGTGATGTATATATATGTTAATATATTTCTTTTACGTTACTCCCAACGAGAAAATATAAAAGTTATGGTCATTGTTTTTTTTAAATTTTAATAAATTAAAATTTAAAAACTGAAATTGGTCATACCAAAAAACTTTCCAAATATATATTTACCAAACAGCATTTTCCTAAAATTGCTTTTCAAGGCACTTTTCAATTACAATTTACCAAACAGTCTTTGTATTTCACCAAATCCCTTTAAACTAAAGGCCTTTGCTTTTCTCCAAAGGCTTTCCCCAAAAGCCTTCCCAAACGCAGCCTTAGTACTTTTGACTTGGTTGTTTGATAGTTGTTGATTTTAGTTTAAACTTTGATGTCAAGTGTGAGAAAGTTATGATGATTGGAGTTGAATCGTTGTGTTAATTCAATTTAAATCGATGAGTTTCTAATTGCCGAGGTTGTGATTAATCGACTTCGGTGAAATTCGGCAGTATAAAGTGGAAATGATGAAATTAAACTAGAAAGTGCTATTTTTGCAATTTGACTAAGATATCATTTTACTAGCCAAGTGTTGCCAATTAATCACGTTGTCGATTATTTAGATTGTCGACGTTCACCTGGTCAATTTTTGGAGTGTTGATGATCACGTGATTGATTTTTTATGTGACATTATGAAATTCGACCCTTTTCGGGATATATGAAACGATTATCTCATCGATGCACTGTGAGTTAAATTTCGCTCTGAATTGATCACTCATGAGAGGACTAATTATTGGGGAAATGCTATTGATGAATTAAGTGCGCATGACCTGAGAACTCAACCATGGATTGACAAGGGACAATTTTGAGCCATTATAGACCGATCAAGGGATGGTTGTAGAATGATTCGCTAATAGTATATGATCGGATCTTGGGTGATTTCGCTTGACCGTCGTATGGATTGTGAATGACCCTAAACCAATTCTTAATGATCGTGTACTTCGGAACTAGCGATTGACCCTCGCAATTACATGACAACCGAGGTCACCCATGGCTTGAGTGAGCTTAAACGTGGCTTGATATTAAATCAACTACGGATTGAATACGCGTAACTCCCAAAAGCCACCCGTTAGTTTGAGATACACTAAAGTCGCAATTGATCGATTTTGGCCATGAATTAGAATCCGAATTTGGGTATCAAACTTTCAAGGGATTCATGACTAAACTATTGGATGTCACTTCATTAAACCTACCTATTTACCGATTCGCTCGGAATTCTTGGAATAAGTGAAATTTGGACCGGTATTGGAAAAGACTTTTTTACCCCTAAGTATTTTTGGATTCCTTTGGTTGGTTGAAGGGCAAAATGGTCATTCTACACCCTTTTGTTGGCCGGCCACTGGGGTAGGAAAATGACCAAATTGCCCCTCATATCTTTTCTTATTTACATTTTTGCCCTTAGAGATTTTATAAAGCTTGTTTTGCAAGATTGATTCTTGGCTCCTGGATCTTGACTTGTTGAGCAAGATAAGATCCTAGCCCTCCATTTTGCATGAGTGTTGTTAGACCATTTTCTCTCTCTTGATCACTCTCTCTCACTTTGGCTTACACTCTCACTTGCACTTTCTCTCTCCCTCTCCTCTTTGTTCGACCAATCACTACCATCACGCCACCACCAGCCACTGACTAGCCACTACCACGCCACCACCCGCCACCGTCGCCATCACGCCGTCGCCATCATCCACAATAACCACCACCGACCACCCTTTTTCTTTCCCTCCTTCACCCTCTTGGTTTGGTCACCACACCGTGACCATCCACCACTGTGAGCCCTTTGCCACCCTCATCGCTGCGGTAGCCATTCGCCGCTTCGCCATTGCCGCTGTCTCCGCTTCGCCAAACCGTTAGCCGCTTGATGCCGCCGTTGCTGTGGCTGTTTGCTGCCCCTTAGTGCTTGGTTTACTTTGGTTTAAGTGTAAGTTACTCTCTAAACCTTGATTAGGGTGATAGGTCGTTAATGGACTTGATTAGGGGCTGATTATGGTGAGTATAGATGGTTTAGTGGCTGACTTATCATGATTAGAGTGATAACTTATCATAGTTTGGTGATAGCTTATCATGTGTTTGTGTGATAACTTATCATAGTTTGGTCATAGCTTATCATGTGTTCGTGTGATAGCTTATCATAGTTTGGTGATAGCTTATCATGTACTTTAGTGATAACATATCATGTTCTTATTGATAGCTTATCTAGTCTTGAATGATAACTTATCATGTTGGGTGATCACTTATCAAATTTAAAGATGACATTGAACTTGCATAAGTTGGATTAGTAAGTGAATGGACAAGGTGATTATTGTTGTATGTGAGTACATTTTCTTGGTAGCCTTTTGTATCGGGGATTGCATGTCATAAACACCTCGCATTGGCTAAATTTCAAAAGATAAGAATTGGGGCTTGAGTGAATGTTGTGTGTGCATGGTCACTTTAAAGTTCCATTTGTGCCTGGTTTTACCGAAAGACCCCAACCCTAGAGGTTGTGCCATGGCCGTAAAGGTCGTGCCCAATCTTGGTGAATGGATGCCGTCGCGGGAGTAGGGTGAGACGAAGTCGTTGGTGAATCGAATTTAGGACGAACCCATTCACGGGATTCCATCATTGAGGTTGGTGAGACGATGCCGTCGCCGGGGTGGTGCGGGACAATGCCCGGCATGCCGAAAGACTGTTGATACCTAATTTTTAGCTCATTTTTTTTCATATGTTCAAAAATCTCAAAATTAGGATTAGGAATCTTGGCCAAGCCTAGAAACCTATTTCTATACCAAAAATTATTTTTTTTAGCATTTTCCTGAATTTTTATCTAATTTCTTTTAGTCAAAATGAGTGAGAAAATCAAGAAAAAATAGCAAATGAAATCAGAAAATTCCATAAAAATAATCATTAGTCTTATTTTAAATCCAATTTCATCAATGCATCATCAATTTTAGAAAATCTCAATCGGGCATGTGTTTCTCCCAAAATTGGGCAAAATCAAACCCGAATTGAACCAAAAATGCAATTAGATATTTTCTAGTCATTTTTAAGTCATAGTGTCTTCACAACAAATGATTCTGGGACCTTGAATTACATAATAGTCGGTCCAATTGCACAATTCAATAAAGAAATCAGAAAACCCCAAAATTCAATTGAAAATTAGGAATTTTGAACCTAAATTGGGAATCGTGCCCAATTCGAAATTGTCGAACTATGAGATCATCATTTCTAGGGTTAATTAGATGTGGGTAATTCAATTTTTGCACCAATTTTTCCTAATCAGGTAATTAAGGCATCGAATTGAACAAAGCCCAAATAACTCGAATATAAAAAGCTGAAATCTAGGACATGATTATGTCCAAAATTGCGAAAAATCACATATTTGGGTCCAAAATATGATGAGGAATTGAATTATGGGGTTTAATTTTGAAAATTTGATCAAAATCGGGCTTAATTTGAATTTTTGATCATAATCGGAGCTGCCGGGTTGACCCGACTCGGGTTAGTCTTCTTCCTTACTCGGTGGACTCTAGAACGCAATGAACCCGTGAGAAAAACCAAAGGGACCCGTGACTTTGCCAACCTTCTCCGGTCAAATAGACACATGTTTGACCCAAATGACAGCTGGAGAATCTCCGGCTGTCGTCGGAGATCGGTTATAACCGATTGGAAGGCGGTGGAAACGGATTTTGGGCGGGAAAAATCGACCAACAAAACAAAGAAAAACAAGACGTAATGGATAGAGAAGATGTTGGAGGAAATGCCAGAGAGAGAGAGAGAGAGAGAGAGAGAGAGAGGGAAATTGAGCAAAACCAAAGAGAAATATCTAGAGAGAAAGGGTCGAGGGTCCCTTCACGAGTGTCCGGCGTCGCTGTAGACGGCTGAACGCCGGCGAATCGTGAATAGGCCGTGACCCTCCCTTGGTCATTCCAGTCGAACGAGTTGATCACGAAGCCCTGAAAATGAACCTCGTCTAGCGTGCCGAGAGACGCTCCGGCGAATCCCAGGCTACTAGGTTGAAGATCAAGTGCCAGAGAATAGTTCCACGGCCATCGATTGTCTCGGAAACTCCATCTGATCATAGAACGAAGAAGGTAAACTTTGATCACGATCATAGTTTACCAGTTTTTCCAGAATGAGTTTTAGCTCAATCATGTGTATTTCTTCGCGTTTTTGTTATGATTGATGTTCAAAATATGTTCCGATTTCATTTTCATTGTTTGTTTGCGCTTTGAATGATTGAAAACACATTAAAACCGAGTTGGCCATTTCTGGAAAATCTAGCCGGAGCAACCACGACCTCGCCGGAGCATCGCCGTGGCCGTAGGGCCATTCAAGTTAGCCTCATTGACCTTGTTTGATGTTTTGTTAGTCATTAGACTCGACATAGACAGTTAGGGCAATTAGGATTAAGATTTGTATTCTAGAAAAGCTTGCCAAAAACAGTTTGCAAGTTAGGGTTTTTAGATTGATTTTTCGCCGGCCGACGGCGGTTTGACGGCAAGGTGATTGGATTAGTTTGATAGGGGGTGACATAGTCTTCACATTGAACCAACTAAAATGGCGAAATAGTCGCCGGAAGGTCGTCGGCGATGAGCTTGAAGTCATGGTCTTCAAAACCCTAAAAAAAAAGTCATGCATTTTAGGTGTTTGATAAAATGCCTAAGAGAAAATGGGCCAAACGGCGCCCTTTTTTTAGCACCGTGCCCGCCGGAGAAGGTGACCGGTGCCGTCAAGGCCCGGTTCGACCAAACCGAACTGGGTTGAACCGGGCCGGTTCGGTTCATTTTCCCGGCGGGAAAATTCAAATAATAATAATA